AGATATAACGACAAGGACGGGTAGCCGCCGGTAGGCCCGCGGAAGGATAACCGCCGAAGGTGAGAATTGTTTTAATGTCACGCCCCTTTTTTCGGGCATATCAACGATATTTGATAACAAGATTTAGTCAAAAATATTGATAGTCCCCAGTACATCGACCCGATTATCCGATTCATTATTCATTCAATTCATTATTGCATTGATTCAGTGTCGAAGCAGTCAAAAAGTATAGAAGTGTTCAAATAGTGAGAAGCCAATCGGTCCAGAAGATATCAGAATCAGAAGATATTTCCATCGCCATGCTCAGTCTAGGGAGCTTTTGAAGAATTCGGCCCTAAGACTCCGAAAAGCAAAGAAGCCAAATCCAGTCAAGCTGGATTCCAGAAGCCGGAAATTATGGCGATTTCCATTTGTCGAACCAGAGCAAAAAAAAAATGTATCCATATCCTTACATATTACATGCTTTTAGAAAAAGATGGGGATACACTCGGTGCGCACTGTTTGACAAATGGAAATCGCCATTAGAAGCTCAATCAAAGAGCAGACCAAGTGCAAGTAGAATTGGTAGTTTTCGGTGAATTCTATGATATTTAGAAATTTCGTATAAGATTAAGTTTATCTGTCCTCTCCGTTTTATTTTGGAAAATCGAAAAGTGCAAATTTTTAGGTTCCGTAACGTATTTTTTGCGAGGCCCGTGGGCGCGAGGCCGTCGGCAGTCGCCGACGCCTAGCTACGCCACTGGAAAGCTCCATGTCTCTGTTGATTAGTAAACCTGCGTAGGTCATGCCTTAGCGTTCAGGATACGTTTGGGATCGTCTCCGCGAAAAAAAGCTAATAATTCATGTAAAGTTTTGGGCAGTCGGTCGATTTGACCGAACGCGTGTAATGACGTGAGTTTTTTTGACGCGTGTAATGCCGGGTTAAATACGACCCTTGATTTTTTATTTCAGATTTTAAGAGCTTCTGATATCCCAAAACCTATGACGTATCGCATTTATTCGAAAAAAATAAAAAAATCAAATAAGTGCAATACGTCATTGGTTTTGGGACATCAGAAGCTTATATAAAATCTAAAATAAAAAATAAGGGTCCGTATTTAATAGTTATTTATACACCAAGTGAGTTGAATGAATGTTTATTCATGACAAGAAATTTTCTTTGAATGAATAAAGATTTCAACTCACGTGATGTATACAAAATTTTATCCCATTTTGTGGAAATTTGAAAAATAAAGTTCAAGGAAAAATACCGAGAGTGAATCAAAACTATTTTAAATCACTGAGGTGTCTGATTTTTAGTTGGGCAGAGTGACTTAAAATGCCGAGAGTAGTAGAGTGGCCTGAAGGTGAAACATCAAATTTTAAAATTGATAATGTCTTGTAGAGTAGAAAAAGTGTTCACGATTAAGTGACATTTATTTTGAAATTTCTCCTCAAATAAGCTCAGGAAAAAATAAAATCGATTTTGTGAAGTTTTGGGTTTTTCCGGATATCTCGGAAAATGTTCGGAGTTTTTCAAACGTCAAAGTAGCATTTTATTGAGCGTTGAATTGTGTAACCTTTTCCTATTCTAACCAACATTGTTACTCCAACCGTTCCCCAGATCCTAATGCTACCTCATCCTTATCTTGGACACAGTGTATATCCACTATTTCTAGGCTTCCAAATTCCAAATCCAAAGGTTCTCAATGCGGTAGATATTAAGTGATCACATACATAGAGCAAATGACAACCTTGAAAAAGGGACTTACCTGGACGTCTTTTATACACAATAAAAACCTGATGTGAGGCAGATGCTTGGGCATTTTAAGATTTCCTATATGAATGACTGATGTGCTGATGTTCAGTTCTAGTTCAGTTCGCTCGGTGCTGTGATCAATGAACTGACCAAAGATTTATTCACTTTTGTGGAAACTGTCTACGAATATAATGACGAAGATACGTGTCTGTAAACTTTTCGATATTACATATTTTTTGCGCTTAAATAAATAAAAAAGAATCTAACGTGTTGAAGCAAATTTGTTTCTGTAATTATGTCAACACCCTATTACTTCACTAACTTTTGCCGGGTCAAATGATTGGCAGGATACATTTTTCAGTTATCGTAATTATTAATGAAATGCTAGAAAAAATTTCAACTTTTATAATTTATATTAATTAATAACTTTTTTTTACGTAAATAAAATTATGGCAGGAGTATATAGCTTTACCGAAAAAGTGGCAGGGGGTCGTTTTATGTCTTATTTAAATGTTATTAGAAAATTGGTAAAGTTTCAACTTTTATTATTTTAAACATTTGGACTTTTTTTTTCAACATGTTTGGCATACCGCAGTCAACCGTTGTCCCGCTAACAAGGTGGCAGGAGTTCATTTTCTTGATCATTGATATCAATACTACAAAATAAAAGATAAATCAAGTTTTATGAAATGGGACAATGAAAAGTGTCGCCAGCTCCCGTACTATTTAATTAGCACTTAATTAGCACTAATTTTTCCAGTCATAAAAATTTTGCACTGCTGACTTTGCACTGCTAACTTTATATACGTCAAAACATTGGAGGTGGAAAGTTGAAATTTTATAGGGGGATAGAAAGAAAGAAGATCTCGCGATTGGCGGGAGGTACAATACAGGGTGTATCAGGTATGAGTACAAATATTTCAACATGAGATAATATGGCCCATTTCAAGCTAAAACTGTCCTATTAACCATGGGTCAATTGTTAGTATTTTCGGAGTTATCGCAGAATTTAAATCAAGAAAAATGTGAACAACGTGACAACATTGTACAGGTATTATCTCTGCCAGGATATAAATGTAAATAAAACGGTAAATTTAAAAAGTTTTTTTTTGCAGAGAGTTTATTTATTTCCATCTGTTTACGTTTTGGTTTGTTATTGGCTTTATAATAATGTAAATAATAACTTGCATTTTTAACACTTTTCTAGTAAAAATAAAAAATGTGCGGTTTTATTAAGTTGAACATTCAAGAGAAAAACCAAATAATACTTACTCAGCTACTTGTCAAATCCTTATTATGAAAATATTAATTATTGTTGTTCAAAGTTCAAAGGATTTCAAAATACTAAAATCAACACGCAGATTTTGCACACTCACAACTCACACTTCCTGTATCACACAATCTTTGTAAAACGGGCACAATGTTCTTTCATCAGGTGGGTGCTTTTCTTTTGGGAAATCTTTTCCTAGTTTCCTTGTAAATTCTGGCAGCTCAACGAGCATTTTGCAACGTTTCTGCCTAAACAATAAGTATCTGCATATTCGATGTTTCTAAACATTTTATTAAAAAAAAAAAATGAATTTGAATTACCCGCGTTTCCTAACTAGATCAAATCAAGAATCAATTTATTCAGCTCCACCAAGGTTCAACCTTCAACCACCTATTCTGTATTGTGCTGTGTTGCCAGATGTTTAGATACCCTTTTACAAGTGAAATTTGTAAGTTGTTTTTTCAATTTTTTGTTATAGTTGTTGACTAAAAATGCATAATTACTTAATATTTGGATAAACTAAATTTTTCTACATCTCATAATGATTAAAATTTTCTTTACCTGATACACCCTGTATTTTTTTAAAACATTTTAAAGGGGTGAAAAACATAAAAAACGTGATATCTGGAAAACGAACTCCCTTCGCGACGTTCAAATGAAAACCCTATTCACCCTTAACACATTGAGTGCCACGGCCATTTTGGGAATGTTTCCCAGAGGGCCACATTTTTTTTTGAGATTTTTTGAGTTTGACTTTCAAAATACGTTACTTTTAGACGTTTTTTGATATCTTTTGTGTGATTCAACTGTCAAAAGAGGTTTTTGACGTGTCACCCTTATATGGGTGACGTGGCCTGCCAGTTCGTAAGTCGTTCATTTTTTCAGATTATAAGCAGAAAATGTAGTTATTTGGTCTCCTATGTTTCAATGCAATACATTCGTAAACATTTTGATTTGCCTTAGTTTGTGAGTCGTTTATTTTTTTTTATTATAAGTAGAAAATGTGGAGATTTTTTTTTTTTTCACTTTCAATTATTATTTTTTTTTGATGATGTTCATGAAAGATCTTCAAGTTTTGCTATTAGAATTATGGTATTTGGGCAGCTTTTGAATAAAAAGATATTTTTTTTACCACTAACCTGAGAAATAGACATTATTCAATCTATTTTTCTAAGAAAAAATTGAATTTCTCTCCCTAGGTTAATAATGAAAATAATGAAAAAATACCTAGGTCAATAATGAAAGTGACGTCATGACGCAAGGATATTGTCATGTTTCTATTGGTTCAATTTCAATTTCATACGTCAATTTGAAAAAAAATACAGGTTTCTGTAGGTACATAGGAAGTTATATAAGCTGTTAATAGAGGGCAGCACTTTCAAGAGGGCGTTCACAAAAAATAATTAGAACACAGATTTTAAACAAATTTTTTTTTTTTTTTTTTTTTTTTTTTTTTTTACGGATATGCGCACTCGCAAGGAAATGTCCTATCACGCTCGAGCGTGTAGCAGTAGTAAAAAAATTCTATATATTCCTCGGTAGAGAAAGTCATTATATACCTGCGCGCCTCGGTTTATAAAAGCTTTCGGTATATAATGACCAACTTCTCTACCTAGGTATATAATATACTATTTTTCCCACTTTTCCCTTTCATTTTTTTCAGTGCCCGTAGAATATGTAAATTTAAAGATTTCCTAAAACCAAGTATATCACAATGTTTCTCAGGGGGCCACCTATTGAAAATACACTGATCGTCGCCTATATTTGTATGACGCGGCCTGGCGCGGAGTTATGCTTGCAGGCCATGTCGCCCATATAGGTATGTATGACGCGGCCCACCGGCAAACATCACTGTCACCCATATATGTATGACGTGGCAACCAATGTGTTAAGTAAGACATTAGGGCGTGGGACCGTGGGACCCCTTTGCCACCAACAGTTCGAAATAATTTTTTTTCTAAAATTCCGAAACGTCGGGTCGAAATTCCAATCGGGCTCTAAATTGGTGTGCCGATAGACGATAGAGGAAAAAAGCTTATCCCTAACTGCTTTCGCATGCGGGAGAACAATCTTAGGGGGGGGGGGGGGGGAGAGAACATAACCGCGGCACTGATTAGGAAAACTACTATTAGTAGAGAGACCAGCTCTCATCCTTCAAGAATTCGAGCAGTTCACTGCCCAGACAGGACTAGAAGAAAAACGTCGCCCCACTCGCTCCGCATGTACAACCTGGTCCACCTAAATTGAACATTTGCGAACGCAATCCTGAGCATTATGCAGGTATTGACAAACTTTGTCCATATTGAATATGAACGGCGCCTTTGCTTTTTTTTTGTGTAAATACCAATTTGTTACAGGTAATGTTTCCTTTTACCAAAACCTTAATTAGAATCACATTTTCAACTTTCTTAAAGGAATGTAAGAAAACACCATTTTTTTTTAACACGATCTAACGACGTTATGGATTGCCGAGACTTTAAAGTTATTACATTTACTTGTAGAAAATTTTGTCTACTTTAATTTGGTATGTTATATTTATAGTTAAAAAACGCTTAGTTTTCGAGTTATAAATAGTTGAAAACCTGAAAAAAGTACCGGAAATGTAAGGTTTTTTGCAATTTTTCATGTGAAGTCTGGCGTTGACAAACCTCAGATTCGGATTCAGCACCCCAAAAAATATATAGAACCGGTAAGAAAAAAACTTCTACATTTTTTTCCTGGAAGAAATCCCTGCTTACTGAACTATTAGGAGATTCGTAAAAGTAGGGGAGAAAACCACGCGGTACAATATGGGCTTCGAGGAAAAAGCTATAGTGACTTCCTTAGCAGTGATTTTTTCCCATACATCTACATAAGACGCTGGTTAGGCTGTGTGGCCTATAGTCTTCTACTAGCTTTTTGCTAACCTTTTTGAATATAGGTATAACAACTATTTTTTCTCAAGGTTGTGGGAAATCTCCTGTGGATATTATGTCACTCATAAGTGCTACCAGAGGTCCTTTTAGAGTGTGCAAACAATTTCTAAGAAATATAGGAGAGATCTTATCAAGTCCCGTAGGGACCTAATGGCGATCTCTACCGTTTCTGTAGTAGGATTCAATTGGAAGTGTTTGTCTAATATCTGTAGGGCTGAGTTTAGTAAAATCACTCTGGAATTGCTATGCAAAACACTCTGCAATCTACTGGTCAGATTCAAATGGGACTAGAGTTGCTTTGTCAACCATAATACTGAAGTGAGTTTGGAGTTAAGGTTAGAGCTAACATAGGAAAAGAACTGTTTGACGTTGTTCAACAGATTTGATTCATATTGTTTTCTTGCTGTGAGAGGTGGAAGTCAATCAAGGCTCACGTGAGCAGGGAGCGAAGAAAAGGGTTCTCATTTACATCGGCGAGAAAATGATAAAAATTGGAAGACTTATAGATACAGAACATAAAAACGCAACAAATGAAAACAACACCAAAGTTTCCTAAATCTACCCAATAAAACCATCTTCCAAAGCATCAAGGTCGAAATCAATCCCCTTACGATGAACAACACAAAGCAAAGGGATTCTTGTCCTCGTCCTTCGAAATCCAAATCACATCGACCTCTCCAAAGAGTACCCGTACGAAATGCCGGGTTCTGATTGGTTGCGTGAAAGTAGTACCCGGCCATACAGCTGATCCTGCTCTCGTTGCCGATATATTCAAAACGCGGGTACGCGCCTTATAAAATATTATTTTGATTCCTGCTTAGCATTAGAACCCGCGGTCCGGTACCACGCCAATCAGTAGCTGCATTAATAAAAAAGACACGCCGGTTTGTTTACAATATCAAAAGTACTCTCTTTACTAGTTAAATAAAATTAAATTATTTTGCGGTGAAGAAGTGAGTGCATTTGAGTTTGTTAGTTAGGACTCTTGAGTTTTGTCTTATATTTTTTTTTTCTGGTTTTCAAATAGTGATTTCTTGATTGTTTTTGTGGTGCGTATTTTTCTCATTTTGTTCTAGTGAATTTTTGTGTGAGTTGGTTGCCTTATAAATTATTAAAAATTTATTTTAAAATATTCACTTGCTCAATGATTTTTTAAATTTTAAAACTAGTATTTTTCTTCTTTCTGTTCGGGATAGTTATTTTCAAATTCATTGCCTATTTACTAACTAAAAAATTCAGAAATTCGTCCTGTGTAATTTGAACTAAATTTTTTGCCGAATTTTTTTGGAAGCTTTTTGAGTAGGTAGGTACCTAAATCTTCAGTGTACTAAATTTAATTAAATTTTTTAGTAATGTTGAAATCATCGAATTCTCTAGATCTAGGTATAATGTGAGAAAATAATAATAATCAAGTGAAACTAATTTCAAAGAACATTGAAACTCCCATGAACTTCATCATTGCCATTTGATTTTTACAATTTTTCTAGTTTAACAATTTCTACTTTTTTATTCCATTTTTAGAATATTCACTTAAGTACACCATTGCAGACATAATTCAAATACATAGTTCCAGTTCATTGCCTATAACCAAATCATTGGATTTTTTTTTTCGATTTATGTTAAGTAAGTTGGTTCGAATTTAAAATTTTCAATTTTATAATAATTATTAATATTTTTTACAAACAAAATTGAGACTCATTTTTACAAAATCAGCTTTGCCAACTCGCACAAAAATCAAATTAACACATCCCAAACAAAAATATTAAAGGACATTTTTTATTTAGCTGAAAGACAATTTTTGGTATTTCACGATTGTACTCGCTCCAAATTCAAAATGAAAGATTATAATATGTTATGGAGAGGCTTCTTCGGAAGACGTTATGATGCTGTGAGCACTGGTGATTCATCAAAAAAACAAAAAGAAGCCGCACAAAAGAAAGTACAGAAATATAGGAATCATAAGTGTGTGGAACGAAGAAGTAAGTAAAAATCTAAAAAAATTAATTTGTGTTAAATTTTCATATTATTTTTATAAATAAGCTGCAAACAAAACAAAATTGCACAACAAACACGTCACAAATTATTACAATTCCATTACCAGAACTTTTCCTTATTGTCATTGTGTCTTCTTCAATCAATAAAAGAATTAGTAATAACAAGGTAATTAAATTTCAAAAATCGTTTTATTTTCATTTCAATACTAATATGTAATTACCAAGAGGCATTAAGGAAAGAAAAAGTCATGCGTTTTTGTCCTATAATAATGGGTTTGGAAAAAAAAGTAATTCCCATACTTTTTGGGTATTTGTGTTAAAATAAAAAATTGCTCATCGTTTTAAGAATTAACTGTTGCACACCTGTGGAGACGTGATTATTTTTCAAATATTCGAATTAACTCTTTTAAAATAATTATTGTGCTTATATATGCGTTTTATTTTGAAAAAAGTCACTTGTGGTTTTAATAATAAATAAAATTATGTTCTTTGATTTTGAATATTATGCAGTTTGTTTGAATAATATATTTCAAACTTCAATTAACATTTTTTTGAAATGATCAACAGTGCAAACAGTTTGTATAAATATTGCCCTCGCGGTAATTTTTTTTTTTTCCTTTGACAATAAATTAAATATAATTGTTTCTTTTTTTAGATGTGCAATGATCAAACAACAGTAGATAACTCAAATATAAAACAATTAATTAAAATGAGACATTATTTTGCAGGTTTTAGGTATATATACAATAATAGTTTGTTTAATAACTGGATCTTAGCTGGTGCAACTTCCCTCTTCAAACTTCCCGATTTTGGGTCATGACTTAATTGCATTTTGAGCCTTCTACCGAGTTTTGGTCTTTGGTTGCTCACTGGTTTTGAGTGTAGACCTTTCTGTGGCCAGCATCTCACTCAGTTTACTATTTATGGTACTGAGCACGAAATGGCTGTTCCTTCCTCAAAGTTTTGGTTTTGATATCTCATAGGACGTGATTTCGTGCAAATGGATCGATTTCCTCAGCGTTGTCATGCAGCTGAAAAATGGTGCCTCGCACGAATTTTTTCCTTCTGATGGGGCCTGCTCTTATCCATATAGCGGTCGCACATAGAATACGTTCAATACCTAACGAATGACAAAAGTCCACGAAGCTTTTGCTTGTAAACGCTGTTCCACGGTCGCAAATCAATCTTCTTGGAACTCCAAACATGTCAATGATGTATTCCAGAAAACGTAACACTGGTAATGTTTTTGCACTTGCTACTGCTTCCAGAAGCACGAATTTGGTAAATGCATCTACCACAACTATCAAATATGCATTTTTCCTAATGCTTGTAACAAATGGTCCTACGTGATCTTGTGCCCATGGACACACAACAGGGTGTCAACACTTAATTTTTCGATTGGATTTACACTTCCAGGCTGTTTACCGGATGGCCTTTCATTATATAGACACCCTTAACAGGATCGTATAATATAGTTTTTCACATAATTTTTCATTTCTGGAAACCAATAAAGTGCACTCATACCTAGCTTCCAAGGTTTTGACTATTGCAAAGTGACTAGCTCCATCTCATGGTGATATGTAGCAATAGTTCGCCTTGATGTTTTCGGTACTACCCATTTTCGTCCACCATTTGTAATTCTGTATAAGCGGTTATCTTGTAGGCAATAATTCATACGGAGTTTTTCTTGGTAAGTGAAGACATTGGTCTTGCAATGGAGGCGAATCCGTTCATAAATTTTCTGAAATAACTAGATATTCTATGTTCTCTTGAAGGAAATAGCACTTATTTAACCTAAGTGTAAAACCGGCTTCTCTAAAGATATTTAGTATCTGTTTCAGCTTTTTAAATTCATCTGGTAATGATATTGACGGTATTATTACGTCGTCCAAATATGCCATAGCTGTTTCGAATCGCAAAGAGCCCATTTATTGTTCTCTGAAAAACCGCAAGAGCATTTACAAGTGCAAATGGTAGTCGTAGGAACTCGTAGTATCTATCTGGTGTTATAAATGCAGTCTTCGGAATTGAGTCTTCATTCAATGGGATATGATGGTATCCAGATGCTAGGTCTAGGGTCGTAAAATAGATGTGACCTTTGATAGAGTCCAGGAGGTCATCGATCCTTGGCAATAGGTATTTATCTTTCAGCGTTTTACAATTTAGGGCTCTATAATCTATGCACATGCGCGACTCACCATTCTTCTTTTTCACCAGTAGGACGTTACTTGCATAAGGTGAAGATGAGTTACGGATTATATCATTTTTCATGAGGTCGTGAACTATTCCTCTTACGACTTCCCTCTCAGAAAATGCCACGCGTAATAGGAATATCATCACTTATAACATTTGTGGCAAAACAATCACGGTATTCATTAGGAAGGTCTAATAACTGTTTAAAATCAGTATTATTGAGCTTGCGATTGGTTTGGTTTTGAATATCTTGAGTCGTAAACTTTCTGAATTTCGTAACTTCAGTTGTTAATATAGGATCAATGGTATCAATTTCTTCGTAATAAGTGTAGCCCTTAATTACTACCCTACCCTTTTCGTAACATAAGTCCTGATCTGAAGAATTGAATATTGGAATATAACAATTTTGATTTAAATTTGTCACACAGCGCGGAATTATATGTTCTGTGTTAGGGATATTTCTATACTGTAAATCAATAAAAATATCACCGCGAGTTTCATCATTCAATACTAGAAATGAGAAGGTATAACGGTTGTCTCGGCGTCATACAGATTTATCTTTTTGTCGCTAAAATGTTAAAGCTTGGGAAGCTGGTTTCATGATTATATTAAACCACCGAACCTGATTATCATGAATTACAACCGTAAAATTTTTGTTTTTATTAAATGGTTGTCCTACGATTATAGAGACTTTTTGTACATTATCAGGGACTACTAACGCTTCTACCTTAACGGAAGCTAGGTCCGCCGTTAACTGTGCCGTCACTTCATTGCTTACGTGCACAGTACCACCACCAAAAACACGTAGCCAGGCTAAAGCTGGTTCACGAAGTGAACCCCCTTCTTTACATCTGACTGTTTAATAGTTACTGCTCCACAGCCAGAATCAACATAACCTCTAATAGGATGGCCATTAATTATGCAATCAGTAAAATAACAAGTGCTTGATTCATTGAAATTTAAGTTTTCAGGTAATTGTGCAATATTAATTAAATACTTAGTTGGTGGTTGTTCTGAGCAGCTTTTAAATTTTCCTGACACTCTGCAATTGTTGGCTTCGTGACCCAATAAATTGCATTTTCGGTAAATCATCTCTTGTTTTGGACAATCGGACTGGTAATGCCCCCTTGTCTTGCAATTAAAGCACTGCCCATTCTTAATATCGCCTTTCTTATACGGCTCTAACGGTGCGTCGCTCCATTCTAGTTGGTGGATATTTTTCTTTGAGTTGCACTTGTTTCAGATTTGTCCAATTTGTCGTCACGTAACGTCGACAAATATTCCTGATACAGAGCTTCTGGTGTGATGTAACGGAAAATTTTTCCTCTTGCACCATTTTGGACACCAACATCGGTATGGCCATCAATGATGCAGGAAACTGCATTTCTCCCAATTATTTGGCACGTCCTTAGTAATTCCATGTTACTGAAGAAATATTTGATCATGGTTTCTCCTCTTTCTTTTGTTCGTCCCATCATTTTGCTCAACGCCATAGCGTAATCAACATGATCAGGAAAAGTTTGAGAAATAGATTTGTTGTAATCCATTATACCAATTTCGGGCCATATCACTTAATCGAGATTGCACCTGGTAGATTGTCGTAACATCATCTCAGGATCAAATTCTGGAATGCATTCACTTCGGACAGATATTTGTTCTGAGTTCCATCCGCGGTGTTTCTATGTTGCTATAGGTGTCCTGCAAAACTCTATTTTTGATAATAACCGACATTTGATGCTACTTACTTCAACCTGGTTCTCGCTCTGATACAAACGTTTTTCCAAGTTTGCCAAGCATATATCATTACCGATAAAACACATTGGTTGAAATCTCTGCGTCTCAGAGCGAGAGGAGAGTCAAGATTCATCCTATTGTCGAAAAACTTTTTTCCTCACCTCACCCGGAGTTCGATTCTAGTTCTCAGATGATCATTGCGTGTGATCATAGTTCTGTGCTGAATTTGTTTACTGAGATATCGTCAAAGGTGTTTCTACTTTTACATATAAAGTAGGCTATTTCGCTTTTGGTAATACCCCCTGTGTGAGACCCAGGTCCATTTCATGCTCGATGTATAAGTGGATTCTAATAATGCTGTTGTGTGTGTTGTGATTGTGTGATGTTCCTTAATTCGGCTCTCGGGTTGGTTGTCTTCAATTACCTTGTTACTGTTGAGCAATTCCATTGGCGCACCCAAGGTAGGGTATATCAAATAAAATCTGTTCAGAATTCTATGTAGAATTCGAATATTCAATAATATACAGGATGTTCCATTCAAAATAAGAAAGTTGGAGCACGACCAGCTTTTCTGAAACACCCTCTATATGCGAAAGTAAGTTTTTCAAAAAATTTAATTTCAACCATAAAACTTTTATTTGGGACACTTTTTTCTAAAATGTCAAATAGAAAAGATAGAGGGGGGTCCATGTTTCCCCAATCGCTCTTTTTAGTGACATCAACGTCATCTTGCTTCTGGAGGTTATCTTTTGGATGTGTTGGTTCCATGTCAGCTTCATATCTAGGGTGATCCCTAGAAATTTAGCTTACCTGCCAAACTCCAGATTTATTTTTCTCGTGAAAGGAATGAGTTTTGTTTTGGAGGAGTTGACGCGAAGTGGCTCCCTCGTGCACCATTCCTCAATGATTTCTAAGGCGTCATTTTTGCTAATGAGGTTTGATACCGTCCTGGTAAATCCTTCCCTAATGACAACGACTATGTTATCCGCGTAGCCTAGGGTAATGTAGCCTTGATCGTTTAGTTTCCTCAGAAGTTCATCCACGACTAGATTCCACAAGAGTGGTGAAATTACTCCGCCCTGTGGGCATCCTTTTGCCGCGGTTACTTTAATAGAGGTTTCAGCAATAGTCGAGCTTATAGTCCTGTGTTTTAGCATGGACTTGATCCATCTGCACATAGGCGCCGGAACCATGGGGGCAATGGGGGCTTGAGCCCCCATAGTGAACTTGCTATGGGGGCAGAGCCCCCATAGTGATTTTGATATTGTATGTAGTGAGTTTATTAGGTAGGGTAGGTACAGGGTGATCTATTATAAATGTCACCCGTCTTAACTTTTTCATTTGGCGCTTTTGAAAGAAGTGTCAAATACAAAAGCTTTAAGAAATTATCAAAAGTTTTTAACTAAAGTCAGTAGGTATTAAGCATACAGGGTGCGCCAAAAAAGGGTAGCAGAGCAAAGTTATATTTTTTAAAATGGAACGGCAAGTGTATATGTGCACTAATTTGTTAGTCCCCTTCAACCTGAGTTCAATGATATACGGTTTGTTATGTTTACCTTTAATAGTTATAGGGAAAAACGCGAAAGCCTCTTCATAGGTCTCATGTTAATTTATTTAAATAATAATAACTTAAGAAAACTGAATTTATTTTAATATTTCAACCCTCGATTTCACCTTGTAAATTAATGGAATAACATAATTTGAACAATAAACTGTTTATATTTAATAATTGTCTATTGTCTCTAAAGCTATTTATTGATATCTATAATTTTTCTTTCTTCAACATGAGTCCTTGGCAAGGGGTTTCCACATTTTTCCCTATAACTATTGAAGGTAAACATAGCAAACCATACATCGTTGAAATCAGTTTGAAAGGGACTAACAAATGAACGCACAATATACATGACATGCTGTTCCATTCAAGAAAATATAACTTCGCTCTGCCACACTTCTTTGACGCACCCTGTATGCTTAATACCTACTGACTTTAGTTAAAAAATTTTGACAATTTCTTAAAACTTTTGTATGTGACACTTTTGTCAAAAAGGTCAAATGATAAAGTTAGGAGGAGGTGACATTTATAATAGATCACCCTGTTCAAAAACATTGAGCTCCTACTTATTTATTTTTATGTCAAATTTGTGTTTTATGTCTTTGTTGTTTTTGCTATAGGTACCTATTTTGGTATTTAAAGCTGTATTTTCAAAAAGTCGGATTGGGATCATTATATATTAGGTATATATTTATATATATTCTTATCGTTTTTTTTTATGATATGTTCACATCACATGAATATAAATATCATGAATACACTGGCTTTTTTCACCTAGTATATTATGGAAACTTTATAAACAATATACAAACCGGATCATCCTACTAGACACATATTTAACTAAGAAGACAAGCCTCTACCCAGTTAAGGCGAATCGAAGCGGTGCTGTCAAAGCCGAGTATTGCCGAGCTGCCGAGGATTCACGAATTTCAATAATATTATGCAGGGAAGATCAATGATCCAGAGTGGCGATCCTGCAGTGGATTTTTGTATCAGTCAACTGGTCCCATTTAATCGTTTTTTTTGTGCTCGAACCCCCATAGTAATTTTGAAGTTCCGGCGCCTATGCATCTGTATGTGGTATATTAATCGCATGTTGCCCAGCAGATCTGACTATACAATCACTTACAAAAAGTTATTTTTTGAAGGCTTAAAATAAACGTTTTTGGACACTCGAAAAGCGCCTGCCTTCGGCGATCCTTCATCATTATGAAACCCCCCCCCCCAAATGAAAAATCTGGGTGCGCCACTGAGCAATTCTGCCAATCAATTATTAAGAGTTTTCGCTTGGTCACTGATCATATTTTCTTGTTTATAAAATTTGATTTTACCAAACTCGTGAGACTTTAGACCACTCGCTCAATTCGCTCTGTCATATTATACAAAACTAGCCACCCTCATTTAGTAAAACCACTACTTCACTAAACGATATGTAATCTACTATTAACAGGTACCTACCTACCAATATTAATGTAATGGAAATTCACCAAGTGGCGAAAAAGTCCACCATTTTAATGTTGGAGATAGCAAAGCATAAAGTTCTTAATAAACTTACAGGTTCTTTATAAGGAATCGGTCTGTTTCTCTTCCTTATGGCTCATCCGGCATAACAAATCACACATTTTTGCAAAAGTAAACAAAAATCCTTGACATTTTGTAATGGTCATTTCTTGTTATGTTAATTTCTTCTAACGGAGAGTGTCCAAAAATATTTAAATAAATTATCGATCTGCGAGCAAACTTCAAATAAATAATGGATTCACACAAATAATATTTTCAGCAATCTCATGGCGATATTTCACGGCCATGAATTAGCAACTTTCTTTTCACGAGACTAATCTATCAATAATATATGTATTGCTAATTGCGAAATTCTGAAGGAACAGCGGACGGATTTGAATAAATCTTGTTCCGGGGTTTCATGACAACAGTTGTATTTTATCATAAAATTTATATTAAGGAAGTTTCCATTTTGAAAATGTGAATATGAATTGTAACATTGTTGCCACTTCAAAGTTTGAGATCAAAAATTCTACACGATTCCATCAGTTTACTAATGAACCTGAAAGTTACCTGAGGCCCATTGAACTCAATCTTCTTTCTGCCAGTAACCTTTGGGCAATTTATAACCCTTTTCTCTTTAGCACATTCACAGTCAGCGTCAAAAAGGCGGTGGTGATTTTTACACACCTTCAAATCGTATTCTTGCCAAACTGGTTGAAAGAATCATTAGAATGACAATGAATGCATCTCTTTCATCATCCAGAAGAGGTATGATTCGAGAAGCATCGCTTTAAATTGGTTCCATTGATATCTGAGTGATCGGTCTCTGAGGATATTGGTTTTCATGAACTGAATATGGTTGTTGATGGAGGTCCTCAGAGCACAGTGTTTGACCCCTATGTTTTTTCTTTTCTACGTCAAACAAATATATATCCCAACATTCATTCACAGGACATTTTCTGATTTTTGCGGATGACACTGCAGTAAGCGAAATTTTTGGAGCAGTTTCTAGTTTTGGCATCCTCTTGAGCTAGGTACCTACTTTATCAATACCAAAATATTTTATTACAATAATAAGTCAATTTTAAATCTATTCCTAGATCCTAGAGTAACAATACAACACCCACTATACCTTAGTGAATAAAATACCTACATATCTACACTGTTATTAATTTAACAAAAATGTCACACCTTCTTATCTATAAAACCAAACCCTTTCCTTTAGTTCGGTCCTGATAATATTGTCAGACACTATTAAATTGTAATTATTGTTAAGTATTTCACAAGGTACCCATACAATTTAGTCTTCCAATTTCTATTCCATTTCACAAGTGAGGTTCTTGGAAGTTGAAATGAAGTTGAAATTTGAAATACCAAAAGTTAAGATAAAGTTCAGTATCGGTGAGTAAATTCAAGATAGGAACAGTGCTATCATTTTTGAAATGTCATACCTACTTTCCTAATGATAGCACTATTAGGATTGTATATTTTATTACTGTATGTTTCATTTACAGGAATTGTCTTTTATTTTTTATTCCTCAACCTTGCATTGATTCGCCATTGAAATATCAACAATTTTGGTCAATTAAAAATAATTTACTTTTGAGAAATATCCATATCCTTATGTCACATACCATGACCTTTAACAACGTTCTTTAAAGTCATAACTGCCAAATAAAACCTGATCTTAATGTAACAAAATAATAATTATTGTAAAATATTGCATCTGCAAGACACGAGAAGAATGCTCTAATTGCACCTGTAATGTGCAATAATTTTAGGTCAGGGATTTGGAAGGGGGCATACCTTCAAACATTGTTTTTTTTTGATAATTATATTTTATTAACATTCAGTGCCATTTTGAGACAAAGCGAAAATGAAACCTGTTTTTCGTTTAATTGAAGTTTTATGGGATATTAAGATTGGTTTTTCTGACGCACCTAATTTTATTTTATCAAAAAAAAAAAAAACTCAATTTTTTTTTTATTGTTTTCAGGAGCCTTGACTTACGCATTATTGGGAATTGGAGCTCTTATATCAGGACTCTTTATACATTTGGTGGATCCTTACACTCTACTTTACCAATGGGTAAGAATTTTGACTTATTCAATTACTTTTAGAATAAAAATACAAATATTATTCAAACCCTAATTTTGAATGTATTTTGGATTTTACAGAAAATCCAATTTGGCCCAGGCGGTGAAATATTTGGTCTATGGGAAAGACCTCCTGTCGAACTGTTCCTCAAAGTTTACCTCTGGAATATCACCAACAGTGAGGAGTATATGACTGGGAAAGCTGACAAGCTAAAATTTGAAGAAGTTGGACCTTATGTCTATCGGTAAGCCACAATTAATTTAAAAGACATGACAAAATTGGGAATAAATCAATAAAATAAATCTCGATTCAATGGCAAATAATTCCTTAATTGTTTAGTTGCAATTACTCGAGTAAATGCTGTTTATGTAACATTTACTTTGACTTTTAGTACCTATGGGCTTATAAGAAAAAAATTATATCGAATACTATTAACTAACTATTTTTAAGTTGGGTAAGTCAACATACAGCCCAACAATTAATAGATTTCGGGCATTTATTAAAGTCGATATAGAAAGTTTAAATGTTACCTACCATAAGATCTTCAAGTTTATCAGAAAATATTTGTGCCGGCGCTAAGTTTCAAACAAAAGACTATAGATTCTTGGACTTGTTTGACTTCGGGCTGACCTTTTTTTGACAAATGGTTTCTGAACTCCCTGATTCTTCAAGAACCAGTTTCCTACATCAGTTGCATTTGAAAGCTTTATATCTATCTGGCTCAGAATCACTTCATGGATTTCCATTTGATTCTATTCTGAACCACCTGGTATCATCAATTCAAGCCAGCTGTGTATTGTCGTACATAAGCCTTTTTTAGGTCTTAGATCTTCTCACACTATCTGGTAACCTTATGATTAAACTGTTGTTCAATGTTCATGTCTGGAAACATGAACGGCCCAGCTTTATTACATGAAACGTCCTTTCTGCAGCATATTGTACTTTTGTCCTGCTTCTTATCCAGTGATATCTCCTTTTGTCTCTCGGTGTGATACCCAATATTCCTCTTTTGATTACTCTAGGGTAACTGCGCTTTGAATTGTGACAGTTAGGATGCACTAGTTGTATATTTTGGAATTAAGCTTCATTTATATTTTAAATAAATAAATGAATAAATAAATGTTTTATTAACGGACCAGCCATTCAACATGTAGTATATTCAGTCAGAGTGACAAAAACTACAATAAATACATAAAAGGTTCAGCCTTAAACGTAAAATAAAATAAAACAACAAAGGCAAAAAACAATTACCTAATATATAAAGAAAACCTACCATAAACAATTCACAATCTGTTATGTTAGGTGCAAGTCCGAGTAAAAGATGTTCCGTCTAACCCTTTCTCTAGAAAACTGTTTATGCCAGTATGGAAAACATAAATTTCCCTGCATACTCTATTTGCCAAACTACAGGATCAACACCTTTTCCAATTGTATTCCAGAAGGTGTCAAATGTATTTCAGAATAGCCAAATGTAGTTCAGAAAGCTTCAAATGTATTTCAGAATAGTTAAATGTATTTCAGAAAGCGTCAAATGTATTTCAGAATAGTTAAATTGTATTTCAGAAAGCGTCAAATGTATTTCAGAATAGTTAAATGTATTTTAGAAAGCGTTTAATGTATTTCAGAATAGTTTAATGTTACTATTAAGCTCCTGTTGGGTCAGTCGGGCTCACAGGAAAAACTGCACAGACATGGTAGGTAATTTTTTGTGTCGCCTCGCTCCTGAATTATTTTCGCCGAGTTTTCACTTTCTGAAATACTTTTGGCTATTCTGAAATACATTTAACGATTTCTGAAATACATTTAACTATTCTGAAATACATTCAACGCTTTCTGAAATACATTTAACTATTCTGAAATACATTTAACGCCTTCTGAAATACATTTGGCTATTCTGAAATACATTTGACACTTATTGGAATACATTTGACACTTTCTGAAATACAATTGGAAAAGGTGTAGTCATGCTAGAAGAAATACCATAATTAGTTCTGCGATAATCAACTCTAAAGAGATTATTAGCGCGCAGATTCCTTTGTGGCACATGGAAGTTCACAAGAAACAGCAAATAAGGACAATCAATATTATCATTAATTAATTTGTGTAAGAAACAGAGGTCTAAAAACATTCTTCGTTGTTCGAGTGGTGGTATATTTAGAAGTTTCATAAGTGCGTTATTTCCAAAATACAGGGTGTTGAAATTTAAACAACCCCCTTTCATACCATCTGAAGGGCTAATGCTAGGCTATTGAATATGCGCTCCCGCTTTATCACGCTATATTTCGAAATAAAAAAATGTATAGGAACAATTTTGTAGAAAATACTATTTTACGTATGTTTTGTTTTGAGTTCTTCGACGCCAGATGCACTGGAAGCGAGATTTTTGCAAAAAAACGATTTTCGTGATCTTTGACCTTCGATATCTCAAGACGCACAAGGGTAGGCATATTCGATTTTTTTTGTGCATCATAAGAACATCAAAACGAAGGTCTCTGCAAAAATTCAGCTTGTTCGGCCTCATTCCGCAGAGGAAGTCTAATTTTCCTTGGGTACTAACATAAGCACAGTATAAAGCCCTAAAACATTTCAGATCGGTGAAATCCTGCAGAGTAAGCTCAACAAATCCTGAAAATTTTTATGTCTTGCTAGTTATGCAATTAATATGGTTTTTGAATGAAAGTTCTCTGTCGAAGGAAACTCCCAGATCTTTTATACAGTCCAGTGACTCTAAGATCTCATCATTTATGCTGTACTCAAACTGAGTGATGTTCGTTTTTCGATAGAAACGCATAACCCTACATTTTTTTGTATTAAATTCAGTCCCAGTTGGGTTTCACCAAGAAATCAACTGATCAACGTTTTCCTGAAGTTTTTCACAGTCTTCCATGGATTCAATGCATTTGTATAACTTGAGATCATCTGCATACAAAAGTATGTCAGAGTGCTGTACAACAGTAGGGATATCATTGATAAAGACATTGAACAGCAACGGAGACAGATGAGCTCCCTAAGGTACTCTGGAAGTTACATATAATTTCCTTGACAGAACACCCTTCATTTTAACAAACTGACATCTATTTCGAAACCAAGCAAGTATATTTCCAAAAAATTCCAAAGCTTGCAGCTTCCTCATTAACATCTCATGATTTACTTTATCAAAAGCCTTGCTAAAATCAGTGTATATGGAGTTTGGCTTCCAGTGACTGTATACTCATCTGTTCATATATTGTCAACTACTTAAGTAAATACCACTCTGTACATCAAATTTACTGAAGTGTGTCGACGAGTCAGCATTTATTTGGTATAAATACCGCGTTGAAATCCATTACCGGCAGACTAAAGCTAGTGCGAACTACCTCTAATGGGAAAAGCCCCTCTAGCTAAGTCTCCTCCCAATGCAAACTACCTTTAATGGGAAACGCCCCTCTGGGAGTATTGAAAGCCGCAGACTAGGTCCAGTGCAAACAACCTTCAATGGGAAACGCCCTTCTGGACCTGTCTCAAACCTAGTTTCAGTCTTCAGTCACGCCAAGTGTACAGGGGGTACATAATTAATACAGAGTGGCCCATAAGAAGTACGTCCCTTCGTAGAAGAGACGTCATGATACCATTTCTAGGGTAATACTATTATTAATCAATACATATCTTAATATGCCAATACCAAGCGAGTTTCTCTCTACCTTAACCCCACCTATTGTCTGGCTAGCCAAACGGCGAACTCCAATAGAATTTGCTGCTTTGCCAAACTTGACGGAAACAATAATAAACAAGTTGGTGACATATATTTTGAAATAGAAAAAAATCCGGCAACGTTGCGAATTGATGGATGTGGAGAGGCGTGATTATTCAGGCATGATTGGTTGGTTGGAGCCTGAACGACAGCACCAGTGGCGTGGTAATTGACGAAACTAAAGATGTTTTTATTTAATAATTTTATTGGTTTATTTTTTGGTGTTTTCGGTGCCACTGAACCCAAAGACATGGCTGTCATCAGGCGGTGTCAGTTGAGGTGTCAGTGAATACTCTCAGGTTACGCCCCACTTTTCTTCCCCCTTTCGTCCCTACCAAGTTACCACTTGCCAGACTATATGCCCCCAAGTCACGCTTTTGTTGTGGCGTCCCAGGACGAAACGTATAGGGGTTGTGAAAATATCATTAAGTTTGAAACTGTTGATCTACCCTTGATAAACCCATGCTGATGGTGTACTAGAATTTCCTGAAGTTGGGGAACTAATTTTAAGTATACAATAGAGTCAAATTATTTAGGGAATAAAGAGAATTTGGTGATGGCTCTATAATTCGAAACCTCTGACTATTTCCGTTTTTGAATACTGGTCTAATATATCACTGCTTCCAAGCCTCAGGAAATCTACCGCTATTTAAAGATTGACGGAGTACCCTACACAAGACGTATGATAAAATAAACACTGAATTCTTTAAAAATCCTACCGCAACATCATCAGGGCCTACACCTAATTTATTACATAATTTCATCATTGCATTAAAAACATCAATCTCATTTATATCACAAACTCCTATGTTAACTTCATTAGGAATAACAACAATATAATTATCACAGTTTCTATCACTATAAACAGAGGAAAGAAAAAAATCGTCAAAGAAATTTACAGTTTCTGTCAAACTCTGCTGTTTCACCATTATAGGACATAACAGGGATTACGCCTACTTTGGCATGTCGCGCGTTGGCAGATGATGCCTTAGTTGGTTATTTGCTGGCACTCCAAATGACTTATTCTTTTGATGTACAAATTTCCAGAAGGCTCTATTGTCATCTACTATTTAGTCTTCTACTGAGGAGATATAATTGCTACAGTAGTTATTCGTTAATTCTTTACATGCTGTTCTCAGCTGAGTAAACACACTGCTGTATTCGAAATTTTATATTTCTTATGGGCAATTTTCTTATTAAATGTGAGTTCTTCAAGTTCATTCGAGTACCAGCAGGGGAACTTGGGAACTTAGACTTAACAGATTTTACTCTAGGAACGAATTGTTCAACGGCATTAGGTAGTTGATTCCATTCAAATGAGCCCAGATAATCATTAATTGCCATGTAGTTGGCCATTTTAAAGTTAAAATACTCATAGTTATAGTTAATGGTGACAACATGAAACACACCTATTTCTATTGTTAATGGGCTGGGTGATACCAATCACAAGGCAGGATAGGCTCATTTGCCAGCTCCACCATGGCCTTAGATCCAAATAATTACCTTGAGCGTTTGGTATCCCATTTACTTGTTGTAAGTTCAGAAAGGATGAATGCTCTGTGTTTTTTGCCTGTTGGGATAAACTACCTGCCTGCGATCCATACTCATTCGTCATTGATCCAGTGCACAATTGGTAAGTTGAAATCTCCACCCATGATAATATTAGTACATTGGTGTTCTTCCATCATGGATTCCACACATACACAGTGAGTTTCATACAGTTCTACAGATGACTGCGGTGGTAAATAGTCAGCACCCAAAAGTGTCGTATCCTTTCCCACCGTGAATACAACAAATATATGTTCTACATTCAGTAATGTACTTGCAACTTGCTTAGACGCTATAGAGGACTCTATCGCAATCATAACACCCCCTCCACGTTCACTATTACTAGTTTCTGATGATTTATCACACCGATAAATTACGAAGGCATTCATGCCTAGTGCAGCATCACAAATTCCATCGTGCAATTCGTGCAACCAGGTTTCAGTAAAAATCACTATATTAAATTCTCTCATTTCAGTCGAAGTATTTATTTCCTTTAACTTTGTGCGCAGGCCCCTGACATTCTGAAAATATAACATTATAGGTATTGATCCGTTCATAGTCCCTTTAAAGAGTTCTGATTATTGAAATTATTAGTGCGGCCCCCTTGCATTCTGTTCACTACTCCTCGATTACCATAGCGACTCACTGATCCATCCGTTGCCCCCTCATTAAAATGCTGATTAGCATTTCTGTTCTGGTTAAATCCATTAATTGTATCCATTATGATTGTGATTGTAATTTTGCTGATAATCATTTTTGTTCACATAAGATGTCTGGGTTGTTCTGACTTTTGAGGTGAAAACGTCTACAAATAATGTGGGATAGCCAAAAACTTGCATCATTCAAAGTATTATAGTAACTACTTTCTATGCCAATTTGAAAAGAGTTGGTGCTTCTTACAGTGTTCGACTGTCTAACTTCTAAGTGTTTTGCATCAGGAATTCCTACCTTCTGTGTAATATAGTTTCTAACTGATGTGGTATTGATGGCCTTTTTTATTACACGGTCCAGATACATCCACATTTTACCAGTTTCGCCACAGAAATCATCCCGGGCATCACTCACTATTTCTTTGTTTTTTCTTCAGCTTTCCGTGTGCCATTTCCTGGTATGTAGGTATATTGTATGCTTCAACCTTATGACTTGTATTGTTATACTACAATGGATGTTATGTTGTTAAGGACTGCTTCCCAATTTTTTACCAATGGTTTATTGAAGGTTGTTCCATCCTCCCATGAATGCTGTTTCTGAACTTTCTATTCCTCCAATGTTTTGCGTTTCTCAGCTCATACATGTTGGGCATTTTTGATTTCGCGGTTTCCCCTGTTTGCGTACTGGTTCGGTTTTATGCATATTCGCAGGGTACTTGTATATGCAGTTTTTCGTGCGTTTTTGATTTCCAGGTCCTGTGTTCGTTAGCTTTTTTTCTTCGGATTTTGGCCATTTTAGTCTTACACAGGTTCTCTAGTCTATATAGTACTTTGTCTCTATCCCATTGAGCTTCCAATTTTTGTCCTAATATTAAGATCGTAGATTTTGGGACTAGAACTCAAAATGAAGGCCATTCACAAAATTAACCCAATCAGAAGACTTTTATGCCGCCGAGCATTGAATTTTAGCCATAATATTAAATAGCCGATTAATAATTTTTGCATACAAACTAATTTAATTAAACGGGTAAAATTCAGAAAGAAAAAAATCTCATATCGATTGCTAAACCTGTGCCTGGTGCATGCCTATGAAATTCTCTTCCAATCAAGTTATGTCGTAAACAAACGTAAACTTGAACTTAATTTTTTTTCACGGTCATTAAAACAAGTTGAACAACCCGAAAAATCCTTTCCTTATTTTTTGGTAGTATTTCTGGTTGTAAATTTTATTTGCTTTATTGGGAAATAAATTATTTTGGTTGCATTTGGGATAACGGGTTTGAGATTACAGTCAGAGATAATTAAAAAGAAGAAAATCGTGAAAGTTTGAAGAGGCTACAAAAATTGGATCTAGTGAGATAAGTATTTTTGAACTTATAATAATGCAGTAGCATAATAATTCTAGTTAAATTAACGCGTCCAAAACTGTGCAATTTAAACAAAAACTACCACTAATGCAACAATTTCGTACCGGCTTATATAACCAAATACGATTGTATAAAAACAAAATAGCAAATTCCATTTTTGTATTCAGATGAAAAACTTGATGGGATTTTTCTTATAAGATTTCTCAAACGTTCATTCCTGCTACGCAATTAATTCGAATTTTCCATGTCACCTGGGGGAAAGTCGAACAAATTCAACTATACCCATATCAATTTAATAAAATTCCACAACAGTCGTTATTGCCAAATATCTAAGTACAGTACGCACCGTATTAACAAAACCAAAACCAAACCGAACCATTCATATGTGCCACTATATAGAATATTCCATCCTGAACCACCTTGAGCTGCTTTCCGTAAAATTGATTAGCGATATAAATTGGAATTGATTAATAATTTTGCTGCAAAATTTTAGACCGTAATTACATGCAGGTACGTGCATATTTGTCTGAAAATTATATAGCTTACAGCTAAAATTCAAATTTAACGGAAAGTAAATAAATAAATGGTAAAAACTGATCAAAAATCAATGGTGAAATATCTACAGCACAACAACAACTTTTACATTTTCACAATTCCGCAATCCCACTGAGATTTGATTAAACATTAAAACATTCCTTTTTCTTTCCAGAGAGTTGATGACGCACGAAAATATCACGTTTAACGACAATGGTACTTTGACATCGATTCCCAATCATCCCCTTGTATGGGAACCTCATTTATCAGGAGAAAGAAGGGAGGATGATCTATTGATTTTGCCGAATATTGCTTTGTTGGTAAGTTGAATTCGAATTTTTACCAAAATCTCTGTATATTTTCATCTCATCGCAAAATCAACTAAATTTGAACCATCAGAGGTCAGTTTTCTTGTCGCGAACCCTGCTAGCTTAACTTCGGAATCTCGGCGCAACTGGTTCATAAGTGTTCGTACCTTATGACTATAATTTTTTCTTTTAAACTATGACTAATCATCATTAACATTTGTTACTTAATTTGAGGCACATTCCAGGAGGCAAGCAGCATAAAAATACTTATAAGCGTTTTTTTTTTTTGGCCCTGAAGCTGACGGTTCAATTCAGTTTTACGATACTCCCGTAAAATTTTGGTTAATTTCACGATTCAGGCTGGACTCTTACAATAAATTTGATTTATAATTTCCGATTTCTATAACAATTTTAATTGAAATTAATGTTGAAATTTCAATTTTTTATCAATAAATCCTAACAAAACTTCATTGTAGTCCGCAATAATAATGTGTTACGCAATAAGTACTGCTGAACCCATTTGAATTTTTATTGGGAAATTAGAACTAAACAGGCGTTTATTTTTTTCAAATAAATTGGATTCAAAGCGCAAAAATTTTCGTAAAAGGTAATTAAAATAAAATTATTGGAAATTTGAAATTTAAATAATTTTAAAACGTCTACGTCTTCGATTGGAAATTACCTATTTACAGTATTCTGTCATATATTAATTTTTTTCAACGTACCTTGCTATATATTTAATTAGTAGAAGGACGGACTTATCAATATGTATTCAAATTATTTTGCAATTTTCTTCAAGCACGTGTGAAAAGCGGCCTTAACCAACAAATCCAATATTGTGCTTAGATGATGTTGCAAAATAATTCAATTAAATTGCATTGAAATTTAACGATTTTTATTGACGAAGTGTTGCATTTTGCATTCAAACTGACAAACTTAAACAAAATATTCTTGCTGAATAAGGTCAACGATATGGTAATAGACTCAAAGTTGATATTTAGGACTAAATTTCAAATTATAAAATTTCTTGGTAACCCGCTATTGTACTTTGTACCAATTTCATATTGCAACCTTTAAGAAAACTAATGTTTAATCAAATGGTACCTACCAACCTAGAACTGACAATCAATAATATTACATCTATGTATTGGCTTCATTTACACCACAGGTAATATTAAAAATTCTTGAAACTGGAACTTTCTTCTTTCTTGAGTCAGATTCAGAGTGATTTCTTTTTAGAATTGTGATTAAGATTCAAGTAGTTAAGTCAGGTAATAATGGTCAAGCTAAGTAATTCGGCAATTGCCCAATAGTATTAGAAGTTTACCATTATAACTTGAAAATTTTGCTTTATCTAAATTCTGCATATTTTATGTCCTTCAATCCAATTGGAAAAATAATCATATTTTCAGTAGTGTCAACAATGTCCGAAGTAATCTTGAACCTATTGATAGTGTTAGGGCACAACATTAAGTTTGGAACAAATAATTCTCTGTGAAAGATGTAAACGCACCTAAAAAGATTTGCTCAAATCTCTTTAACATAACAAGATACCTATTTTTCATTTCCTATGTCATCATTTATTGTGCACTGCTAATCAATGTCTTCATTGTCATGATTCACGAGCAACGAGACCCAAAACTTTAAAAAAAAATCCCGGATGAAGTAATACCTACCAGCTCATTAACTTATCCGGTACAACAGGTGGTAAAAATATTTGAGAAATACGTTCCTTCAACCATAAGTATTGTTGAAGTGAAGCAGTACTATCAAAGTCAGGTCGTAGATGAAATTCAAGCAGGTTCGCTAGGTATCTGTGTTAGTCATTTAACTTTTACTTTCATTCAAGTCTTAGGAAGAAATGAGCTATTGTTTATTTACCCAATTTGTAATGGTAATTATCACGTCCACCGCAAATTGCTGTGAAGAGATTTTTGACGAATTAATTGGATTTTCCAATACTTTTTTGTTTTTATTGAATGTTCGTTGCTTAATATCGAAATTACTGCTTACTCGTTAATTCATATAAACATTGTGCGTTCAGAAAGGTATTTGCAATTACCTATAAGATAAATCATAACTCATTATGGTTCAAGGTTGACAAGGAGCTCTTGCAAAATTGATCGAATTTTTTTTGGCAAATTTGTGGGAATTTGAAAAATAGCCACGAAAAAAGTCTACAGGGGTGAAATCGGGACTTCTAGGAGGATAAATATGAAGCCTCTAATTCTCCATACCTATGATCTTTCTTCGAGAAATCCTTCGAACCACTTGCATTGACAGATTTGCCCCAATAAAATTTGCCAATTCTGGTAAAAGAAAATGTACAATTTCAAGTTTCAGCTGTGGATGTTGCTTATCACATTTGTACGTATAACTCTTTAAGGTATTCGTTAGTCAAATTAAGCTGTTGGCGACATTTCGGTCAACGGTCTTCAATTTTCCTTGCCCTGTGTAGCGGATGTTATTATCCGTTTTCCTTCAGCACCTTATTTCACCAGAGTAGTGCCAGTCCTTATTCAAAAGGCAGCCCACAGCCCAGGTATACAATTGTCTTAGTAGCAGACAGTAAACCGCAGATTTCCGATGTCGGTTCTACTGATAATGAGCGTTTTCTTGCAGTTTATCTTCATACCATATCTTCCAAATGTATCCCCTGGTCTTTGAGACTGCAATCGGTCTGCATATCTGAAATTGTTTATTGATTTATCGCCGAGGTAACAGAAGAGAGTTTCGTGGCACCTCTGAGATAGAATCAGACCAGGAATTTGTGGCTGCGTATATGGCAGCAAGATGTGGTTTTACATTGGTAAAGTTTCGCATTCTGTCAGTTCTTCTATAAGTCGTAAGTACATAACCAACAAACTGCCTGATGTTAGTGAGGATAACTCAATTGTTGACCAACTTTAGGGAAGAAAAATTCATTTAAAGTTGGCATCACTCCTGGATACTACAACGTAATGAATTCCTTTGGATTTTGGCCTAGCAAGGTAGTTTTTCGCAGATTTAATTTTAAGAGGAAATCCAGATATCCAGACACGATGGGGCCCAGGATATCCGGGACCTAGCCAACAATCAGGAGTTATAAACAATCTGAATAGTTCTATAACAGTCTATTATCAGAATGTGCGCGGTTTACGTAGGCACCAAATTAAATACATTGGCTAGTTCTATTCTCCTAGTTTCATACCAAGTTCAGGTTTTTACGGAGACTTGGCTGACTGAGGACTTTTATGATGCTGTATTGGGCATGGAGAACTATAACGTCTTTAGGTGTGATCGTTCAACTTCCTCCAGTACTGCCACCAGAGGGGGAGTAGGTGTATTCATAGCAATTCAAAAGGGCAGTTTTAGCTCAATTTGCGACTATCCCGGACTATTGAACCGTTATTCGTCAGGGTGCACTCGGGGAATAGAACATTATTGCTTGGTGCAGTTTACTTACCACCTAGATCCAATAGCGAAGATTACAGATGTTTTTCGGACTCATTGGAAACTTTGTCGGATACATTCATAGATTACAAACTTTGCATTTTTGGTAACTTCAACTTACCCAAGGCACAATGGGATAGTGACAGTTTCAGTTCTGCAGCTGTTGCTTCTCAGTGTTCCTTAACTTCAGAGCGTGAAGCCACCGAATATTTATTCAATATGAGCGGTTACCAAAACTTGTTCCAGATAAATGCATTCTCTAATGCTCGTGGCACTTGATCTGGTTTTCACCCAGGACCCCGAGGATACTTGTCTCTCAACTAATTACATTATCCTTCCCAATGATGCATATCATCCTGCTTTACTTTTTGCCACCTGCAATAGGTCACCTCACTGCAATGTTTGTCTGTTTGTGTACCAAAGAAGAAGCTCTCAAGCCATAAATTTCCACGATGGTTCTCCCTTGAACTAAAGGACCTAATAATTTAGAAGAAAGATTGCTATACAAATTGTCATATCTCAGGAATGTCATTGCTTAGGGATAAAAATCTAAAAAATTTCTGGATTTTTGTCAATGCTAGACAACAGACTTATTGACTCCCTTCTTACATGTTCTATGACGGTAAATTCGCCAAAACTGGACCTGATCTAGCTAATTTTTTCGGTGCATAACTACTTTCATCCTGTATACTCAAACAAAGCATGTGTTATTGGCTACAGCATTTCTGATAGTAGCATTCACATTCATGACTTTGAAATATGCATCTCAGTTATTTATGAGGAAACATGTAAGCTACGGATCTTTCGTAGACTTGGCCCGGATGGCATCCATCAGCAGGTGGAGCTTTATACTATCTCGTCTTTGGTTTATTTTGTTCAATGAATCATTTAGTAGTGGGGTATTTCCTGATTTTTGAAAGCGGAGTTTTATCACGCCCATCCATAGGACCGGTGACAAAATGAATATTATCAGATACAGGCCTATCAGTATCTTTAACACTGTCCCTAAGGTCTTTGAGAATATAGTAACTTAATTCTTATCTAATCAACCCTTGCCTAACAGAACAGTAAGCAGGCCTCCGGCCAAAGTGCTCAACCGAAACTTACCCCCTGACGTACCAGGAGAAAATCTTAGGAATTCTTGAAAGCGGTGGAGTTGTTCACTCCATATATACCGATTTTGCTAAAGCCTTCGACCGTGTCAACCACAATGTTCTACTTGCGAGGCTTGAGAGAATTGGAATTTCTGGTACTCTGCTTGCGTGGATTTAAGGAACAGAACCCAAACCGTCAAGATCATCAACTTCTGCTCACAGCCCATTGACATCCCCTCAGTGTACCACAAGGATCTCACCTGGGACCCCTGCTATTCAATATTTTCATCAACGATATTGGTTCTTGTTTCATTAATAGTGAGTTTCTGTGTTTTGTCGATGACTTAACGATATTTGCCCGAGTCTCCTCCCACGAAGACCGTGCCAGACTACAATCTGACTTGGATAGATTTTCCGAATGGTGTGTCACAAGTGGCATGGAACTCAATGCCGTTAAATGTAAAGCTATCGTTTTCTCCAAACTCAAAGCCCCATACAATTTGTTTACCACATAAGCAATGAACCACTTGAAACAGTGTCCCAACAACGTAATCTCGGTGTCATTTTTGATAATACGTTAAGCTTCTCCAGCCACATTTCGGTTATCGCTATCCAGGACTCTGAAACTACAGGGCTTTGTTAAGAGGTGTTCACTTCACTAACATCTCTTCCATCAGGCTTCTCTACTACACAATGATAAGGCCCATCCTGGAGTACTGCTCCTCGATTTGATCACCTATGTATTCTGTCCACATCAACGCCTTGGAGCAGGTGCAGCGTACATTTGTACGGTACTTGGCCTTTAAGGCAGGTATTTCTCCTCCCGAAATTTATATCTACAACTATGATGACCTCTATCGATGCTTCAACCTGCAACCCTTAGCCTTCAGACGAAATCAAAGGGATTTATTACTATTTTAAAAAATACTAAACTCTCACAACGATTCCATATATCTACCTAGTATCCAGAATGGGACATATGCCCCAGCAAGAACCACACGCACTTCCACTACCTTCTCAGAAAAGATCCACTGGGCTAACTATGGTTCGAACACTTTTATTTCCAAAGTCCAGAGCTTCCCGAATCTCTAATGAGTTCAATACCTTGGACTTTTTCAGTACTCTTGATGACTTTAAGAGAGAGCTTAACTCCTTAAATAAAGTTCCTGTATCTATTAATTGTTAATGTGATATTTAGTAATAAGAAATAATACGCCATCTTGTCGTGTTGTTGATTAGTCTTTTGTTTATTTCTATTTTAATTCTTGTTGTGTACCTACTTAATTGGTTGTCTAAACATCTAATTATTGTATATAGATGTTCTGTATGCTATTATGAAATTTCCCCACCAATAAATAAATAAATTATGTATTCTACTGCCTGCTGATTCTGAGTACACATTAAACCAGAAATGCGGTTACGTTAAAATTTTTGGTGTTTCATTTTCGACATCATTACTGTTGCTTCCTTTATTTTTTTATGAAGGTTGGTTAAAGCTGTCATGTAATATAACTGTGAGACCCTAACTTCAAAAACTTGGCAAGATGTTAAATTGGCGAGCGGTGACTTCAGTTTCTGAGTGGAGACCGAGGTGGAGACACAGTTTAAAGTGGGTCCTATTTGCGGGTGGAGAGTAAAACACAGAAATATTGTGGTCAATTAAAATAAAGTTTATTTTATTAAAATAAATAATGCTTCAGCATCAATCAACTGTTAAGGAAAATTTATATAATTCCAAGTAAAACTTCAATTTACAGTTTGACTCGACTCACACTCTTGCCTTCACAATTTCTGCCTGAACATAAAAAACTCTACTTACATTTAACAATAATATATTTACTACTGGCCACACCTAATTACATGGAAATCTTATTGGTCGAAGGAATTTACTTTAATTATGAACAATTAATAAAAAACTCGAATATTTTCGCGCTGTTATTTCACGTCGTGCTTCTTCTCTCGGTTAATTTGACAACTCTTTCACGCCGTAGTTCTGACTTTCTGGACACAGGTCTCTCGATTCTCGATTACTGCTTGTTTCTTGATTACTCAACCGACACTGATCTTTCACGCCGTAGTTCTGCCCGTTTACTCGCTCTTTCTCGAACACTGATTTTCTCCTGCCAAAGTTGCCTTTTTATATCATTGGTCCCTCCATTGTCTTGAATTTCTTTATTTTTTCTGACCTCGATTTTTCGTGGTTGAATCATCCGATCAATTAGTGTATTTGGTCCCCTTTTAATTAATTATCAAGGGCGTCGCTAAGTGGTTTGTTAAGTGGGTATCATCATATAGGCTCGTGCATGATTTATTGATCCTTTTAGAAATTTTTCGGCTCCTTTGGAATGTTAATTGTTGAAAGCACTTAAAAAAAAAAGGTCCATGTACTTTTGCCTTATTCACATTCCAATATATTAGTCTTTCAATAATTTCTGGATATCGATGTTCATATAAATTTTAATTGAAGTTTCTGGTTGTGCTGTCTAATGGCCGTTTGCACCGAAAATTTTAAGGAAGCTTAAACGATAATCAAGGCTTAAAGTGACATTTATGCATGTAAAAATGTCACTTTAAGCGTTGATTATCTTTAAACCTCCCTTAAAATCGTCGGTGCAAACGGCAATAAGTGATGATTTCTCCTGGGATGGTTGTTTGGTAAGTCCTTGTTATTCTTGATTAAAATTTCTGTAGTCACTACATAACTGATATATTATTGATAATTTTCTTGTTTGAGTTTCTGGAAATTGCAGAATTCTTTCCGACACCTTGTATGTTCCACATCCTTACACTTATAGTTTGTATTGGAATAAATGTATGTGTTATTTTGAGAAGGTGCTACACTAGAGTGGTAGTTCTGAAACTGACCTTAATACACTAAATATTGAGCTATTATTTTACATTTATTGAATACATCCACCAATGCCGAGTCAAAAAAACCTTTTTTCTACAAAATATTTTTTTCTTCATTCCAGAGTATCGCAGATGTAGTCTCAAAGCAAAACCTCTTCACCAGATTGGGCCTAAACGTCATCATCAGACGAACCAACTCACAGCCATTAGTTAAAATGACAGCAAAAGAGTTCATGTTCGGATACAAAAGTGCGTTGATGAACCTGGGAAACACTTTTATGCCATCCTGGATCTACTTTGACAAGTTAGGATTAATTGATAGGGTAAGAACAGACACTAGTTTTTTTTTGTCTTAAGTTTATGACCAATCTATTTTTTTTCGCCAGATGTATGAATTCCGTGGAGATTACGAAACCGTTTACACCGGCACTAAACATGGACTCACCAACATTGGGCTTATAGACACTTACAATGGAGAAAGTAAAATTCCTCAATGGGACAGTCCATGCGGTGACATTCAAGGTGCTTCTGACGCTACCAAGTTTCCTGGCTACATTCAACCCAATGATACTTTGGTGTTTTATAGGAAGAGTATGTGTAGAGCAAAAACTTTGGTAAGTTTTACATTAAAATTTTTCAATGCATTGTAACTAAATATTCCATTGATTCTAGGTTCATGTTAATGATACAGTAAAAGATGGATTCAAAGCTTATGTCTACCACTTTGCTGATGACGAAGACGACAATGGCCGTATTCATGAAAAAAATCGTTGCTTTTGCAAAGAATCAAACATTGACCAATGCAAACCCAGAGGCTTATTGGACGTCCGAGGATGTTACTATGGTTTTCCCATTGCGCTTAGCTACCCTCATTTCCTCGACGCTGATAAAGTTTTGTTTGATAAAGTAGAAAGTGGGTTGAATCCTGATCCGGAAAAGCATCGCAGCGAGTTTGTTATCGAACCCAAGTCTGGAATGCCTGTGAATGTAGCTGTTAGAATGCAAATCAATATGGCTCTAGGAAACATACAAAATATTGCTAATTCTGAAAAGTTTAGCAATATAGTCTTGCCGATGTTGTGGATGGAAATTGGAATGTACGGTCTACCAACTTCCCTTAAGATACGGTTTAAGCTCTACCTAGAAATTGTCCCTACAGCTCAAGAATGCTTAAAATATGCCCTTCTTATCATTGCTCCACTAGCACTCATCTACTCAGTGCATAAACTTATATGCTCCAGGGGGTCATCAGCGCAAGAAAACGACTGTCCATGGATAGAAGACGCCTTTGTACTTAATATTGACAGAAAACTGTCAAGCTACATTCCAGAGAAACGGCCTAGCTTGACTCATAAAGAATTTGATGCTTATATGAATACTTTTCTTGCACCGGTGCATCATCATGTTATAGATCGGCCTATGGCTACCTTTATTCGAGAAGATGATTAGTACGTAATTTGGCAATTATTTATGAATTGCCATAAATATTATGTGACCTCAATGGCGTAAATGAACAATTAATTATTGCAGTAGGATTTTAGAAATTTTAAACAAAGACAATTTTGTCACAAAAAAGTTGATCATTTCTGTCTCGTTTGTGTGATTTATTATTTTTTAATATTTATTATCGTTTTTAAGGTTTTTAGGTAAGTCAAAATTGCAAGACAAATTTTAATGAAACTTTTTTTCACTTATTTGTCTTGTGAACGTGTCTTATTTTGACATTAACAGGGACTAGAAAGCTCCTTTAGCTTGCCATAAAAAGAAACTTAGTCCCTGCATAATGCCAATAACTATTAGTTTAGAAGGTAGGAACTCTAGAGCACGTTTTAGTGACTCAAATGCTCAGTTTTTTCACTTGATTAAAGTGATGATATTTATTATAAAAATTTAGTTGGAAAAATTAATTTATTTAAGATCTAAATTCTCAACTCTTTGAACAAAATCTTGCCAACTAATTGATATTTTTTAGCAATACATGTTAAGATTAGTTTTATAAAAAAAAGTGCTTCAAAACAATGTGATAAAATAGTTATTTAATTCTCTTTGCTATTTAAAATGCTTGACGTAGGTATGCTGTTTTTAATAAAAGCCAGATTAGTTAACAAAAATTATGCTCTCGGCAAACATACATTATCTTTTTAGGTAAAATCTGGCATTAGACATAAAAAAAAATTATTTAGGACTCCAATGGTCAGTTTCTTAGTGCAATAAAATTTTAATTTAAGTAAGTTTTTGATAAGTTAAAATTTAAATAATAGGATCTCATCTTGTAGATTTTATTTTCACAAATTAGATGGTCCCAGTTTATTAAGGGTTTTATTAGGTACGTTTCTGTAGATTTGTTGTACATTATTTTTATAAAGCCTATTTTTATATAAAATTTGAAAATAAAATTCTTGTTTTATTTTTGATCCATTCAAAGCAAATTCATTGCAAAATCAAATGAGAGTTATAAAAGAAAAAAACGTTAATGGAATTAAATACTATCTTTAATACTTGTGATGAAAAATAAATAAAAAAATAAATAAAAATCAAATACATATTGCTTCATCATACCATAATACCATCAGATGCAGCTATCAATAAATAACTCTTCTTCGAAGGTCTTTCTATGGGCGCATCACTCTCCACATTATGCGTATTCCTCAAATGCTGCTTCACATAAGATTTGTCATTAAACTTCTTATCGCACATGGGACAATCAAAAGGCTTTTCCCCAGAATGTGTGTATAAATGCCTGACCAGCTTATTTTTCGCATAAAAAGCTTTGGGGCAAAGCTGACAAGCATAGTTGCGTTCACGAATTGGCACTTTCACTTTACCGACGCCTATTCCATGAATTTTTGCCATGTGAACCTAAAAAAAAATAATTACAACGTTATTATTGCGATAGAGGTTAGACAAATTATAGTGACACGTAGGAATTAGATACATGGTGCAGAGCTAAATTGTGTCATCAAGTAACCCCATAGAGAACTCTATAAAGGTTATCCTTTAAATTATAGCAGCGATGATCTGCAGGGTATAGAGGATCACATCCCCTATACTACCAATAAAGGCTTGCGAAATTTAGGCTCTCCTAAACGCAAGATGGCTTATGTGGAGGATCTATTGTGTCTGAGAGCAATCTACTGTTTAGAGCAACTCTGAAGTATGGTTGTCAGGTATGGTGGCTACAGTATATCTAACTATCTATAGTATATTGATTTAGTTGAACATGTACAAAGGAAATTCTCAAGATTTGTGGCATTCAGGATGTCAATACTAATGGAACAAGTAAATTATTCCGATATGATGAAGTTTCTAAATATTACACTATTTGCAAGCCTTCATAAGTTTATAGATATTTTTCAAAAAATTATTGGTAAAACATCTTCCATAAATAGATTTAGTATAGTATATTATTGGAGACTCTGATGAGTCTTGTGACAATATAGACATGATAAGGGATTTTCATTAAGGCTTAATAGCCGTCGTAAGTTGGAATTTCTCCCTGACGTTTCGTTAGCACGCGTGGCTAGCATCTTCAGAGGTGCTTCTATGTCCGATTCTGATAGCAGACTGTGCGTTCCCGACCGTAAGTTGTATTTATGTGTGAGAGGCTGTGGTGGGGGAGGGGCGGGGCTTCGCGGCATGTGGCTAATCTCAACTATCTTTGTACTCAATGGGACCTTTCTTGCGTTTTTTTAGGATCGGGTTTCAGATTTGGTTAAGCGTTAGTGTAGAAATCCGTATTGAGACGGCCAACATTCTACGAAAGGCTCAACCACTAACCAGTAACCTCTCTAAGAAGGAACTAATGGCAATTAGGAACCTGAATTCAGAGAAAAATATGATCATCCTACCTGCAGATAGGGGCAAGGGGCAACGCAACTGTCCTGTTAAGAACTGAAGACTACAATCGGAAACTTCAGGAACTCCTTGATCCATCTACCTACCGAAAAAGATGGATCCCACACAAGCCACACTCCGGAATACCAACAAACTGATTAGGTCATCTACCCTAACAGACTCGGTTAAGAAAGGTATCATAAAAACAGAAGCAAAACTTAAATTAAATATCCCTTAACATCCCTTAAGTGATAGCGGTGCAAATGGCCATAAATGAAGCTTTGAATGTGACTTTTGTTTCCAGTGTTTCCACGAGATTCACACAAGTAGGAGGAAAAATATGTGCAGCACAATTCAGCACCATTTTGATGCTCAAGGAAAACATTTTCTAAAAATGGGGTGGCTGAGCGTCATGTTATAATGTTTAAACAAAAAATTGGGTGATGAAATAAAGTAGGAGGGAAAGGAAAGTATGTGCAGCACAATTCAGCACAATGCGGATTCTCAAAGAAAACACTTTTTTCTGCGATTGACAAGAAATGTCAGCATTTTTGACTGGTTGACAGGTCGCAAAACTCAATATTCTGGTATTTTAATTATGTTTCAATAGTTGCTAAGGAATCATTGAGGGCCATATTCTCCATAGTTCATAAAGCCTGGCTTAGTAAAAAAGCTCAGCTTTGTCACACAAAAAGCCAAGCGTTTCCACTAAGCCAGGCTTCATGAACTACGGAGAATATGGCCCTGAATAACAATACGGGAAACACTTTTCCGGCCTAGGCCGGGAAAGTGATTCTCGTACTGCTGAATATTTGGAACCAAAAGACAAACATTTAACAGGTATTCAACCGATCGCAGAAAAAATAGTATGTGTATTTCGGTGGAAAAGCACATTCTCGGCCTTCGGTATTTGCCGGTCTCGGCTACGCCTCGCCCGTCAACTTACACCGTCGGCCGAGAATGTGTCACTTTTCCATCTAAATATACAATATACTATTTTTTAATTCGAAATTCAAAAAAATGCGGGGGCTCAGCGTCAAGTTAGCCCCCCTCTATTTTTTTGTAATTAACTCAGTTACCAAAATAGCACAATTCCTAATATTGGCAGCACAATTCAGCACAATTGAATTCTACGAAAAAAGTTATGAAATTCGGTTATGGGGGGGCTAACTTGACGCAGCTACTGTAATGGCTGCCGACTGTAATGCGGCAGTGATACCGCTGCTATTAAATTTGTAACTTTGTTGGCAATACAAGCCTTTTCTACATAAAAAATTTGAAAGTATTGACATTTTCACATTGTATTGCCAACATAATGTCATTTTGACTTTTATCTTTAAAAAAAAAAACAGACTTATACCACAGCATTTATACACTGGAGGAAAAACCACTTTAAATCTTTACTTTTTATTCTATTTTTACTGTCAACAAAGCTGTAAGCTGTAATATACACTGTATTATGTTTATTTTGAGGTTTATTTATCAACAAATCACAAAAGCATGTTGTTATTAGCTTAGATTAACCGACTAATTCAGCTTAATATAACATTATAATAGCGACAGATCTTTCAAAATTTCTAAAAATCCTTTAAAATCTACAAAAATCTTTCAAAATCCTCAAAAATCCGTTAAAATCTCCAAAAATCTGTTAAAATCTCCAAAAATCTCTAAAATCCCCTAAAATCTTGAAAATCTTCTGGGATTTCAAAAATCTTCCAAAATCCTACAAAATCATTGAAGATTTAAAATCTGTGTACATATTCTAAAGCCGGTCCCAGACACTACGTGTATTCGGGGAATATTCGGTATTCGGGTTTATTCGCGTAGCGTGTGGGAGGGTAACTTTGGCGAATATTCGTCCTTCGTCATTTTCCCGCCGATTGTCGGTAAACTGGCACGAAGCAAAGGAAGGCGAAGTGACGCGAAGTCCACTACGTGTGACTTCGCACTGCTCCCAGACGCTTCGGGGGTATATGCATAGTGTTTTGTCAGTTTATAGCGGTGTGCAGTGCCGCAAGGTTGATTTTTACATTTCTAGTTATTTTTAATTAAAATAAGAAATGGAGTGGACCAATGTATTAACGTTAGAATTTTTACAATTATTTGAAAATGAACCTGTCATTTGCAACCCAAAGATACCAGAGGTGTTTTCTGGGCTCAAAGTTTTGAAACATTTTTTAAAACTGGTTTAAAACAGTTTCACAATGACGTCATAACCTCTTTTGCGCGAGAAAATGATTTGAAAACGTAGATTGGATTATATGTCGAAGCGGTTTGAACCAATTTTGTGTGAAATCATGGGTTCATCGCGAGACATACTATTTCATACCTGTTTTGAACCAGTTTCAAAAAAGTGAACGCGAGAAAACAGCTCAGATCTGCCGAAAATGACAGAAGTAGCGGCGGCAACAATCTGCTCTTCATCAATGTCCATTTGAACTAAATAAACGTCATACATGAAACGCCACTGAAAATCGACGGTCATCTGCTTGGAAACTTCGCCGAACAATTGTCAAGCCAAAGCTTCGCCATACCACAACGCCGTGTGGGAGACTAGGCAAATATTCGTGCGAATAACGAATATTCGCCTATTCGCCGAATACACGTAGTGTCTGGGACCGGCTTAAGGAGTTAACCACCCCTCGCGTATCGGGGGATTGAAGGGAGAACCAAAATGAGGCACTTTTTGAGTCACCCCCCTCACCTCTTAGGCTCGTTGCTATCCCTTTACAGTCGTATAGCAAAATCTTAAATTAGTTTTCGAGATATCAGAGTTTAAAAGTAAGCATATTTTGAAGACTAGTAATTTTGACTATCTCTTAGACAAAAGAATTCTGTCATAAAAGTCTCAAACCAAGGGGAACCAAATGTGTTTACTGCCTAACCCCCACCTCTTTTGTCTTGGGGGCTAGCCGCTCCTAATAATTTTTCCAAAATGAGGACCCACCCCGCGTGATAGCTCTTTTGAGAGGTTTTTTATTCGTCTTCAGAGACGTGCAGAAGCAGATAATGTTGAAATATTCAGTATCCCTTCCCTCAGGAAGCAGGGTTTACAATATGCACGGTATGTTAAATCGTACATAAAGCGTAGTGCTTTTTTTTGCAAAACAAATACTGAATTGAACATATAATCAGAGCAACCTTCCCAGAACGCAATTCCGTATTGCACGAGGTATCGTATATGTGACTCCATCAGTAGATAGTGGTTAACTGCCTGTGGTTGCAGGTTCTTTGCTATGGTTCTTAAGGCATAACAGCCAGATGAGTTTATTTAACAGTTTTTCAATGTGATTACTAAAGTTAGGCGAATTATCAACATGTATCCCAAGAAATTTTACATATGTCATATGGTTGAGTGTTATTGTTTCAATTTGAATTTCCTGTAAATTGCATTTGAAAGTTAGAATATTAGTGATTGCTGTCAAACCACTTCTTTATTACTTGCAAATCCTTTTGGATTTTATAATAAAGAGAAGAACTGTTCAATTCACGCCACAGAATGGTAGTATCATCAGCAAAGAGAGTGAATGACCCTGATATATTAATATTGTTAATATCATTAATATACAGGAGGAACAAGACTAGTCACAGGACAGAGCCCGGAGGTACACCACAATTGATGTTTTGAACATCTGACATTTTTCCCACCATGGAAACAGTCTGAGTTCTTTCTGACAGATAGGATCTAAACCAGTTAAGGGCAACACCTCGAAACCCGTAAACTTCTAGCTTTTGTAGTAGAACTCCGTGACCTGTGTTCGTGACTGACATAATCAAAAGCCTTGGCCAGGTCACAGAAAACTGTACCAGCAATATCCCCACTATTAAAGGTAAAGTAAGGAATAAATTCAATAATTATTCTTCCGAGCAATTTTTTTTTAAAATCCTCGATCACGTCAATTTTATTTTTGGTCGAGCATTTTTTATAAAATAAAACTATTATACAGGGTGGTCGCAGAGAAGCTGGACAGGTAGTAACTTAATTTTTTTAAATAGACACCCCTATTTTTTTACATTTTCGGATTTC